TAACGTGACGCTACCACAATTGGTACAATTTTGACAGTTTTTTAGTGATCTTTAAAAATTCAGATCTTGTATCTGGAATGTTTCTTGATTCTTGACAAAGACTACCTATGGTGGTTCATTTTCAGGAAAAGATTTATATCTAAGTAATTTATTTTTGAAAATAGATCGCTAAACTCGGAGTGAGATTTCGTCCGTTTTTCGGCCGTAAATAATACCCAAATTGGTACACCATATCACAGGCTATGGAAATTGTTTATATTTCTACAAGTTGATGTGCCGATTACAACAAAATATATTGCTTTTATAGATACCACACTGAACTATAATTGTATATATTCACTTTTATATTATCCGAATATAAGGACCAGAAATCAACATTTAAACATGCTTATATTTAACCCCTTGAAAATCCTCCAAAGTTTCGTCGACGTACGTCGTTTTTACTGGTTTTCCGATATGTTTACTTTGAAGTCATCGTGTACTCTTAAAATGTTCCTGAAAACAAAACTATTCGGCAGAAATGCTGTTAAATGTCTATTTTGTTATACTGTTAATGGAAAATGCTCAAATGTAATTTTAAAGTACTATTCGAACAATTTTCTGACCGTGTACCAATTTGGGTAGTGTACCAATTGTGGTAGCGTGACGTTATAGAGCAAACCTATCAAATCAAAACACATGAAGAATTCAAAACATGAAACCCTTTTAAAACACATCGTATTCCACTTTTTACCTTTTTTCTATAGCAAAATACAATAACAAAAAAATACCAATAATAATGACGGTAAGGGCTAGGCACCCGTTCTCCTTGAGTTCATTAATTAATTAATATACTGTTTGCGGACTACTCGTAACTTTGGCTCCTTTATTACGCTATTATCAAGATCAGATTGACGCTTACATAAATCGGTCCTCGGTGGTTTATTTGCAAGCGTCTGACTGAATAAGGTGTCCTTGACGGGTTGCAAAATGTCGGGCTCTTACACCAACGAGGATTATGTACCTAGCTTTGAGGAGCTTAAAGTACCAGAGTTACCGATCTCGTCATCTACTCTGCGTACAGCTAGTTTGTATATGGGCAAATATTGTGACGAACAATGCAAGGTAATGCTTCAGTCAAAACTTGATAGCAATACATGTACTGTATAGATATTCGTGGACATAAAAAAGCATATAAAATAATAAATTCTGTCTTTAAAAACGACACATCCGCGAAAAAAATGCAAGGTTTTGAAATAATAGTTGTAAACAACAAGTAAGGTTGATAGTCGTTACTAAAAAAAACAGGTAGATAACGCTTGATCAGCAAATATGGCTGTCTAATTTACGGGCAGGTAAGGCAAGATCCCACCGGTTCTTCATCTTCATCTTTTTTACTTCCTCCGTCAATACCGACGATTACGGAAGTGGGTCTTGTGCTGTTGTGCGTTAATTATTATGTACAGTGGTTTTTTTTTAAATTTTGTTATTTGCTATAGGATAAAAGCAGGTTAAAAGTAGTGAGTGTAAGGTATGTTGTAGGTTTAGTATATATTCGATTATGATATACATGTATGTGGTGCATGTCCTGAATTCTGCTAGTGTTCCTGATTGGATTATTGTTTTGGGTAGGAGGTTCCACTGTATTATGGTGTATGGAAAGAGTGAGTGTCTGTATGTGTCTTTGGATGTGTAGATATGTCTGTAACTAAGGTCGTGTCCTTGACATGTTCTGGTGTCTGCCGGGATGAGATTGTTGGTGTTCTACTTGTTGGTGTATTATTTTGTAGAGAAGAATAATGCGTGTTCTTGTTCTGTGTGTGTGTAGTGTTGGCCATTGCAAGTTGTGTATCATTCATATCTGTGACAGAGCTTGTGTTATGGTATTTGTTTAGGACATATCATGCTGCTCTTGATTTATGTTATTTCAACTTATTTGTATAATGTGGGTCCCAAACTGAAGTTTTGGTCTTACAATGGCCTTGTATGCATGTTCTTTTATGTGTGGTGAATTTATTTTTAGGTTGCGTTTCAGAAGGTTCCGGGTTGTTTCGCCCTAAAACAATTTTTTTAGGGCGAAACATTGTTTGGTATTTTCTTTTCATTTTTATTTGTTTTAAGTCACAAATCAAGTCTTCTTAATCTTTCATATCATTACAATCAGTTTTATTAAAAAAATATGTGTTTGTGTTGTTTTTAAGTACATTGTAAAGCAATAAACGGATTACGTTATTTTCTTCACGCCGACACACATTATAACATATATTGAATTTAATTTTAGAGATAAATAAGAATAGTGAAATGAAACAAAAATGGGGTATACAAAAATGTTATTTTCCTGTGTTAACACATTTAGTCTAGTGTACACATAATTGTCGCCGTGTGACGATGTTTTTCTTTACTTGATTTCGGCGCACGTCCGTGTTGTTTTTTGCTAATTGGAGGAGATCATTTTGCGAAGTTTTGATAGTACCGACCAATAAAAATTAATATGCTTATTAATTAATTTAGTTTCTTTATATGTCCATATCTTATCTATATATTATACGTATCTATGTACTTAGAGAAATTCATTTAGTTTCGTTATATATCCATAATGTTAAAAAAAGGTACAGGTGCATTTTATAAAGAACAACATTACTGGTTGTAAAGTGCAGTATATTCCGGATATTAGTATGTCCGTTGTCGGCTTCGGTTCTTCCAGCACCTAATTATACGTATATTATATCTGGATTCAAGAGAAGTATTTTTTAACTTTTAACATGATATTTATGACTTTAAGAAAAAAATTATTTTTAGGGCGAAACAACCTGGGGCGAACAGGTTTTGGGCGAAACAACCCTTAGGGCGAACGGGATTTGGGGCGAAACAACCCGTTACCGTTTCAGAAAACCTGGTGATTTATTTGCATTTGATGTGATGTGTTTGTCCCATTTTAAGTTGTCTTGAAGTGGGATGCCTAGGTATTTGTTTGAAGTTACATACTCTAGTGTGTGGTCATAGAGTGTGTATTGGTGTTTAATTTGTGTGCGTTTTGGTGATATAGTGTGTATGGTGCATTTGTCTGGGTGGAATTTCATGAGAGTTTTTACCGGTACGGTACACAGAGTAATCCGGGTAATGCGGAGTAAAGAAAGCTAAGTCACATGAGCATTATTGTTCGTAAATGTACTGTTAGTTTTTAGCTTTTTATTTTAAGATTGAGTTTTTACCAATAAGTAACAGGTTGGGCACAATGTCAACGTAGTGATAAATCTACATGCGAGTCCCAAGTCTTATACTCATAGAATTTTTTTGGGCTCACAAAATTTCTGGAAATACTTAAATTTAACATTGTGGGACTCATTGTTTTTAGCAATACAGTTGAAAAGAACCTGTAAAAATGAATTGAAGATTAATCACTGCGTCAACGGTGCACATGGTTAATAATCCTGCATTAGGGTAACTGAGTGTAGCAGGAGATGGAAAAAATCGAAAAATGCAATTCCATACCTGGGTTCGAACCCGGAACCCTCAAAACTCTAAACCAATAAAACAGACACTCTACTTATTGAGCTTATACCTGGTCACTGATGATTGACTCAGTCCAGTTCCCTACATTCCTAGCTCCCTCTTTTTCTAAGTCTTTGCCCCCGAATTAGATATCACTATTTACAACCCAGGTTCAGGTATCCCCCTGCCAAGCGTACACTAAATGCTTGAATCAAGGGTTGGTAACCGGCACCACCACGTGCACTGTAACAGGAGATGGAAAAATACAAGGCCAGACCTGGAACCCTCCAAATTCTAAATGGACACTCTAGTCTCTACCAATTGAGCTACCTGGTCGCTGAGATTGACCCAGTCCAGTTCCATGACATGAGGAACAATTTTAGTACTAAAATCAGGAATAAATTGAAACACATGAAGTTCTTTAAAAAATTATAAACCAAAAGGGTGTCCTACTTTAAAAACTACCAATAAAAAATACAATGAGGTACAATTCTGCACTAAAATATATCAAATCAGTTGTCAAAATGACAAATGTTATCACCTCTATTGCTTAAAGTGTAGGTATGGTAGTCTAGTGGTAGGATGCCGGGCTCATGACTGAAGGGATGCTGGTTCCAGTCACAGCACAGCACTGTGTTGTATCTTCGAGCAAGATACTTAACTCGCTTGTTCCAGTCTACTCAGCTGTAAATGAGTAAGTGGTTGGGCAGTGCTAGAATTGTAGAATGCTAGCTGTGAGTGCCAGAATGGCAGCACCAGCCACCAACTGAATGCTCCCTAAGGAACTGAGAAAGATATTGGCTGGTTGCAAAGGCCCTATAACCACATATAATAATTTGTGAACCGCTTTGGGACAACCTTCAAACTAGGTTGTGATAAAGGAGTATATAAGAACCTCAAATATTATTATATTATTAATAGTTAAAAATATCACACAAAAAAATCATGCTCACCTGTCACATTAAGTACATTTCTTTTTGTATTAAAATAGCAGAACTTAAAATTATAAATCTGGTAATAAAATGTAAAAAGTGTTCAGGGCTATGGCCAGAAAAAAAATCGGTACTAAGCCCTCCCCTAGGTTTTAATGTTTGTCCTTGTAAGTAAATATACCTGGTACTTTCATAATTCGTAATTGCTATTTAATAAACTGTACACTTGCATACATTTATATATAGGCTCTTTATCTCAGTTTTTAGGTTTAAATGACATTGAATACTATTTTCAACATTGATTTTATTGTGATTTTTTTTTCAGGAATTTATGTTATGTAATGAAGAGTTGAAGGACCCAATACGCTGTTTGAATGAGGGCAAGGAAGTAACTCGATGTGGATATGAATTCTTGAAAAAAGTACGATTGAATTGTAGAGAAGAATTCAATAACTATCACTCTTGTCTAGATCTACATGGTGGAAAGAGTATGCACTTCAGGAAGTAAGTTCAATTGTACCTCCAGTTGTCATTAGTAACACGCTTACTTTGGTACCTTTGATCTAAATATGAACATGGATTTGTAAATTGTCTGTTCATGTAAAGTTAATGATCAAAATTTAAAAATCATTATAGAGGAGTGCGAGTCTTTTTATGTTAACTAATCGGATGTCAGAGTGTCTACAAGACCCTTTTTTTGGAAATAGGAAAAATAATTGATGAAAACATTGAATGTCGAGATAAAGGCCAAGACTAAAAATGTATTTCCTTGTCCAACATTAATGTCCCATTAACAGGGATCAAGGATGTTGAATATTATGTCAGTTACTGACTTATATACATGTAGGTGTAATATTAGGGGACATGAACCGAAATAACAATATTGGCCAATGTGTTATTGCAGTTGTTTAGCATACTAGTAGGAAGTAAGAGATGGGTACCTGATCATACCATGATCTCAAAGTTGTAGAAAATGTTCATTATCTTTTGTAGCTCATATGTTTTTTTAAGGAATCGGTTGATTGATGCAGCCCTACAGATCATGGCTACATCACGATTGTTAAGGCTTTAGAATAAAATTGAACTCAAGTTGTTTACCTTATGACTCATACAATGTATGTTGTCAAGCTCTGTATCTACCCTGTGACTTAAAACTAGAGCTGTAACATCACATTTGATATTGATGATATTGTCGTAAGACCGCAAAGTTGTTACCAAATTCAATAACCGAATAGTCAATTTGGATGTTTATTCGACATGCTTTTATATGCTTTGTACGTGTATGGTCTACTGAATGCAGGTGAGACAGAGTCTGCTTAGGTTGAGGTCACCATGGCAAATTTCGTCAATATTGAACGTGATGTTACATGTTGACATTGTGAAGGATGTACTAGATTTTTACTGATGGTAAAGAGGTAGTGGATGGTTAGGGAGAAATGGTAGATTCAATGATCAGTGTCACTCTGCCAAGTACCGATATTAACAAAATTAGCTCACCTGGCATGAATAGCCACTTGAGCTTGTGGCATGGTGTGTTGTTTGTTGTCCATTCGTCCACTTTTTCTTTGAACAACTTCTTCTTATGAACTGGAGGACCTAAGGCCATGATATTTGGCAAGTAGGTACCTGGGACAAAGTGCTATAAAATTTCTTCAAATAAATGACCTTGATTTACCTTCAAGGTCACAGGGGTCAAATATGGAAAAACCTTTTAAACAACTAGGAGGCCCAGAGTAATTATATTTGGCCAGTAGGTACCTGGCACAAAGTGCTATACATTTTTTTCAAATAAATGTCCTTTACCTACTTTCAAGATCACAAGGGTCAAATGTGTTAAAAACCTTAAACAACTTCTTCTCAATAACAAAGTTGTCTAGAGCAAGTTGGTACCTGGGATAAAGTGCTATAAAGTCTCCTGAAATAAGTGGCATTGACCTACCTTCAAGGTCACAGGGGTCAAATATATAAAAAAAAAACCACCACACATTTAAATGTTTTCTTCTGAATAACCATGACCAGGAGGCCCAGGATCAGAAATGATGCTAGGCAAGGAGAAACCTGGCATGAAATAATGTGGTCTTTCCTCAAATGTTATTTTTTTACCTTCTTTCTTTCAAGATCATAAAGGGTAAATGTGTTAAATCATTTAAACAACTTCTTGAATAACCTACAACCCTAGAGCAATGGTACTTGGCCAGTAGGTACCTGGCATGAAGTGCTATAAAGTTTCCTCAAATAACATAGCAAAGGCGAAGAAGAACCAAGAGGCCTAGATTAATGACCTTGACCTGCTTTCAAGGTCAAAGGGGTCAAATATGTAAAACAAAAAACCTTTAAACAGCTTCGTTGGCTGTGATGCTATTTGAAAAGTAGCATGCTGGGATAGAGAAAGTAATATAAAGTTTCATTTAGTCTGGAACATTTTTAAGCCAATGAGACTCAAAATATGGAAATACTTGCAAAATTACTTTTATTGAGAACATTTCCCCAGGATTACTCAAATATATAGGTGCGTGATAAAGACCCTCTGGGCCTCTTATCTAGGCTCAAAATGAAATGTCCAAACATATATGTGATGCATTAAAGCTTCTTGCGACCCATGATACAGCAAAAAGTGATACCAGACTTTTTTGAATGAGCATCAAGCTTTGTGCAACCTACTGACATTTAGATAGATTGTATAATAAGTATTTCTGTTGCTTTGTGTTTGTTGTTTTTAGACATATTTCCATAAAGTATTGATTTTAAAAATAACAATCAAAATTTGGTATATATATACATTTTAGGATCTAACTTTATAAATAATTTTTAATGTTCCTTGGTATTTGTAATAACTGTGTACCAATCCAAATACTCAGGTCCAAACTCATGTGAGGCACATGCACCTTACAAAGTATTGTTTTATTTGCATTAATACTGATAATGTTCCCTTCTGACACTTATTACATGGTTTATATCTGGTTCTTGTATTGACAATACTAGTTCTTTTTACAGTTGTAGAGATTCACAACAGCCACTTGATGACTGTCTATTCAGGACCATGAACTTGGAGCGTCCAGAATCAGGCTACTTTGTTCAGCGCCGATTTCACTCCTCTACCCGTCCACCACCACCAGATTTGAGGAGGAAGTATGAGAGACTTCCACCCATGGCTGATCTTGCTGAAATGCCTAAGGAACAGAAACCGTATCCCTGCGACTGTTGAATAATTCTGTACAGTCCAAGCTTACATGCTGTCACAGATTTTGTAAGCCTGGTACAGCCGTATATACCTGGAACAGTCAGACTTAAACAAAAAGACATTCAGTGATGTAGATTATAATATTTTGCAGAAGACTGTGTTTCATGAGAATTTGTTTGTAAATATAAAAAAGTCATTTATTTGTGTTTTGGTTATCTTTGCAATACTTGAAGTGTTTTAAGCTTGCATGGTCTTTCAATGGCGCAGCTTCCTTCATCTATCCGTTATCTGTCCGGCATCTACTTTTTACTTAAACAACTTCTTCTGAGGTAGCATAGTACAGTAGAAATGGCCCGACTCTGATAAACAAGGCACATGTCGAGGAAATGTAAACACAGCGGATTTACCCTACACAACACATGTATACATGTATATATATTTGTAAACTGCATTACATTTACAATACATATAAAGTACTGAGAAGTGTATAAACCTCTTTTTTCTATGTATGTCACTTGTGTGAAAACCATGGTTACCACATCAAAAATTACCAAAAAAGCTAGCTTTTCATGTGTAGGCACCTTTTCGGATTATGGCCAAAATTTTATTCTCGAACCAAAAAAATCTTCTTTTTTTTTTACAAATGTGAATCTCACATAGCCCACTTCATCATGCTTATACCAATTTTAGTACAGTTTTATTTTTATATTTTTTTTACATATCATTATAATAGCCATTTAACAAAAATATCACCCATGGCCACAACCCTCTACTGTATACTGCTACCTGAATAACCAAATATAATATTTGGCCAGTGACATGCATTGATGAAGGGCTATCAACTTTGTTCAATGAATGTCCTTCGCCCATATTCAATTTTAAACAATTTCTTCAGAATTTCCAGAAAGCCATGGATGATGATATTTGGCAGATGACATGCTAGGATGGACAGCTACCAAGTTTGTTCAAATAAATGACCTTGACTTATATTCAAGGTCACAGGTCAACAGTGTTAAAACATTTTAAACAACTTCTTATGAATAACCAGAAGGCTGAGGATATTTATATTTGGCTAGTAATATGCTGGGATGAAGGGCTATCAGGTGTGCTCAAATGAATGACCTTCATTTGTATTCAAGGTCACAGGGGTCAGTTGTCTTGAAAAACATAAAAAAAAATCTTCTGAATAACCAAAAGGCCTAGGATGATGATATTTGGCCAGATACATGCTCAGATAAGAAACTATGAGGATTTTCTAACAAATGACCTTCACCTATATTGGTGATATTTTGTCAGAAGCATACTAAGATAAATAGCTATCAAGTTTGTTCATGTGAATGACCTTGACCCCCTTTTAAGGTAACATATGGTAAAATGTGTATCAACCTATAAATGATCTAATGTCAATAAACAACACGTTGAGGGTGGTGATGTTTGGCAAGTTGCATGCCCAGATGGAAGGCTATAAAGTTTGTTCGACTTCGGGACCTTGTTACACTTTTAAGGTCACATGTGTCAAATGTGTTTTAATCTTTTTACAGGTTCTTTTGAATGACCTAGAGTCATAGATACTGATATTCTGCAGGTGCTTTTTTTAGTCCTCTTTTAAGGTTACAAGTGTGAGATAAATACCAGGTGAGCGATGCAGGTCATTGTGCCTCTTATTATTAATATTTGTATTTCCTGGTATTTAAAGTGTTTTGATTAATAGTTGTGATGTATCAAGAGAACCCCCCTACTTGTAGTAATCCACACCACACCAGTACTGACCCTCAATTTCAAGGTCACAGGGGTCAAGTATGTCTAAACCTTAGAACGACTTCTTTTGAAAATCCGAAAGACCTGAAGTCATGATATTTGGCCAGTAGCATCCTATGATGAAGCCCGACAAAGTTTGCAAATGAAAATGATGTTGGCCTACTTTCAAGATCATGAAGGTCAAAACATTCAAAGGACTTCTTCTGAAGATCCATCTGAAAGGCCTAGAGTCATGATATATGGCCAGTAACATACTATGAAGGCGCACATCCAAGTTTGAGAATGAAAATGAGCTTGACCTACTTTCATGGTCACAGGAGTCAAATAAGTCTAAACTTTCAAACAACTTTTTCTGAAGATCTCAAAGGCCTAGAGTCGTGATATTTGGCCAGTAGCATCCTATAATTGACCCGATGGAGTTTGCGAATGAAAATAACATTGTCCTATACTATATATGTCCGTCATGCTTCCATAAACAATTCACATTTTTAGCTCACCTGGCCGGAAGGGCCATATGAGCTTATGCCGTACTGCGTAGTCCGTAGTCCGTCGTCTGTCCATCAACTTTTTCTTTTGAACGACTTCTTCTGAAGAACTGTTGGACCTAGGGTCATGATATTTGGTCAGTAGGTACCTGGGATAGAGTGCTATAAAGTTTCCTCATTAGAATGACCTTGACCTACTTTCAAGGTCACAGCGGTTAAATATGTTAAAAATTTCAAAAAACAATATCCTAAGAACCATTTGAACTAGAGTTATGATACTTGGGTATTTTATGTAAACCAGCAGTGCAAATATTTTTTTCAGTTACAGTTATGAGGTCAAAGGTCAACTTTAAGTGCTAGTTTGTGGTCAAATGTCAACTTTGGTTTAAAGCTTAACAGTCTTCTTCTCAAGTTCCATAAGGCCCAGGGTCATGATATTCGGCCAGTAAGTACCTGGGATGTGGTTCTATAAAGTTTCCTCATTAAAAATACCTAGACCTGCTTTGAAGGTCACAGGGGTCAAATATGTTAAAAATTTCAAACAACAATATCCTAAGAACCATTTAAACTAGAGTCATGATACATGGGTATGTTATGTAGACCAGCAGTTCTAATATTTTTCTCAGTTACAGTTATGAGGTCAAAGGTCAACTTGAAGTGCAAATCGGGATTCAAATGTCAACTTTGGTTAAAAGCTTTGAAATTTAAATTTTAAGTTTCAAACAACAATATCTTCAGAACCGTTTAAGAGATGTTAAAATGTCTTGTGTTCTAGTTACCAAATGGTCTTAAGTTACCTATATGTCAGTTGCATGTAACAAAAGAAACAGGTGAGCGATACAGGCCCTCTGGGCCTCTTGTTTACTTAGTCTCCAAAACTGCTGCACCCATTTCAATCAACAAGTTCTCATGGATGGAAATGTACATGTTCAAAGGTATAAGACGTTGGTTATGATGATGCTGATACAGAGGATACACTCAGGATGATGAGGTTGATGATGGTTTTGATGAAAATTATTAAAAATTGTTGATGATGATTTCAATGATGATGATGCATGTTTTAAGCTTGTCATGGAAGCTTATGCCTTACTGTGGCGTCTGTCGTCAGTCTGTCAACTGTTTCTTTTGAACGAATTCCTCTGAAGAACTTGAGGACCTAGGGTCACGACATTTGACTAGTATGTAGGTGGGATGGAGTGCTATGAAGTTTCCTCATTAAAATGACCTAGACCTACTTTCAAGGTGACAGGGGTCACATATTTTTAAACATTCAAACAACAGTATTTGAATGACCATAAGGACTAGAGTCATGATATTTAGATATGTGGTGTACACCAGCAATGCGAATCTTTTTCTACATTACAGTAATGACATCAAAGGTCAAATTTAAGTGCTAGCCGGAGTCAAAGGTCAACGTGTGTTAAAATTCAAATTTCAAACAACAATACCTTAAGAACCGTTTAAGAGATGTTAAAATGTCTTGTGTTCTAGTTACCAAATTTGGTCTTAAGTTACTTTTATGTCAGTTTCTAGTAACAAAAGAAGCAGGTGAGCAAGACAGGCCCCCTTGGCCTCTTGTTTTGCCGGGGTTCAAAACTAACACATGCAAATATACTAAATATAAAGAGTGCTGGTCCAAATTGTCCACTCGTAATTAGCTGTTTCCTCATCCTCGATATCTCAGTAGTTACGCTCACTTTCGCTCTCCGCACCATTGGAATGGGTCATCAAAATCGAAGTTTGGACTGTTTAGAGATGGCGGCTGCCAAAACAAGTAGAAGGTGAGTTCTCAGAATATCTTCGTTTTTTATTTACTTTAACCATTTTGAGTCACAATCAGGATGAGGAATTGTAAGCAGAATTTGCTGACATGTCCTTAAACGATTACTGATATTAAGAACATATGAACCACTTTCATCAGAGACTAATTTGTGCTTCGAATTTTCAGTATGTTTTGCCATGATTGAGCACTAAATGGTCAATGATATTCTGCGGTGTTTCATCCCCAAAGCTACGTTCGTAACAGTAGTGCAGCTTCATTCGTAAAATGTGCTTCTTTGTACATTTCAATCTACAGTCCCCACCGTACAATTTTACAACTTTGCATCCAATGTCACAACCGTACACAGTCGTAAGTTACGGAGTGTCCAAACCACATATATAAATACAGATTACCTCTTTAAAATGCATGTTTCTACTTGTTTATAGGACATTTTGCAGCCAGTTTAGATAATTGTTTATCTTTAAAGGTTTCTTAACATCATGGGTCCATAAATACTCAGAATTATTTTTTGAATCAACTCCAACTCTTCGACTGAACGTCTCGATTGCCGTCACCCTGTAAATACTACTTTAATATAGATGCTTTTCTGGAGTGGAATATTAGCATTTTATAACACTCTGATCTATTATCTTTTTCTTCAGTGCATCCGTTGATCGCTAAAAAGGGTTCAAGTAGAACAAACGAAGATGTTCAGAGAACTTACATTCTACTTGTTTTGGCAGCCGCCATCTTTTAAACAGTCCCAACTTTTTTCAACGTTCAGGCTACACTATACAGTTGACTTTGTGCCTTTGATGTACCTCAGAAGAATTCGTCGGTCGCGCAACAGTAAAAACTAGCTTTGAAGTCGAGCCTCGCTTTTAATATCTTCAAAGGACAGGCATCAGCATTAACGATTGGTCCGGTTTGTTTTTACCTGAGAGCATTCGCGTGCCCTCAATTTCCAGGGGATCAGAGAGCGAAAGTGAGCGTAACCCATGTATTATCGAGGACTCGCCTACCAGAAAAGCATAAGTTCATAGTCCAATGCCAGCTTTTTCTTTTAAACCAGATAACCAGATATTCTGTATATCTTTTCATATTTTCAAGAGTTGTTTATTTTAAAACATGGCATTCTCTGGTTTAGTGCAAGAAAGTTTGATAACAGTCCACTTTGTGAAAAATGTATTGCAGAAACTGAAGCAGCATGATCTTGATCTTCGGTCATTTTTTCTTGGCGTCTATTTGAGCAACTGGCAATCAAATACGAGTACTCGGCATATGTTGATAATACGTACACCAGTCACTGTCGAAACACAGCGATAGTTAAATGATGGTAATCCCTTATAGTAAATTTTATAGAAGTTAAAATTATCGTTCTTGAACAACCGCGACACAGAGCTGTAATTGGGTAATTCAATGGATTATTAAATACTGCACATTGGTCCACATGCACTAATACAAATGATGGTGATAAACCCAAGCAGACTCAAGATACACAAAGGACGATAACTTAAGAAGTAATTTACATAATGGGCCATTATGTCTGATATACATATACAGCAACTGTATTTGGGAGTGGCTAAACACTTCAAGGAAATCAAATGAAAATTGACAATGACATTTTTTTTTATTCTTGCAAACACAGTTTAGAGAATTTTACAAACAGTCGTACAAATAGTGATATTCATCTCGAATTTCATAGTTCAAAAACTTTACAGCTTCTCTGTTCTCTAGGCATATTGTTCCATATACTCTGTTGAATTGGTATTGTAACATTACATAGTCCAAACATAGTAGGAATTAGTTGATTATTAGATATGTAAAACTATTTCGAGTGAAATGAACCAAAACCATTTTGAAGTTATTCATAATTTATATATTACTGCCATTATAGGTAACACGTTCGTTTTTCAGAGATTCTGCCTTTTATACCAAAACTCATGCATTTAGTGTAATTGATAGTAATTTTAAGGTGCCATAGTTATGAATAAGAACTTGTTTTTGTAAATCTTCCACAGAATCTGAAAGTAAATGTTATCATCTGCATGTAACATTATACACATGCACAATTTGATATATACTTGTAACTCATTCTTTAGTTTTCCCGCCTAATTCAAAAGGCTTTTACATTCATGTTATTTCAGAAAGTCTTTTAGATCCTTAAAGAAATGGGGATAGATTTCACCCCTGTCTTCCATCAGAACTACAAGAAAAAACATTCGAGAATGTGCCACTTTTAATAACGTTAGCCTTTATTCCATTGTACATATTAGCGCTAACTTTGAAACATATTCCATCTTAGTGATTTTTTTTATCAATTTGTTCCACAGTCCTATTCTCAAGACAAGGTATGTATAGAAATGGTTATATAAACAGTTCATGAAATATATTATCAATGATGGAGTATGTCTACGCAACCCTGCTTAGTTTTCAAGTATAAGTTCTGCGTTATCTGCATTTTTATTAAGACGTTCATTAACCTGATTTTAGTACGAGTAGTGTAAACAGAAATAGATCAGCCGACATATATCTCTCATTATCTGTATAGATCTATTCCCTAATGAGGCTGAATTTACATATAGAAAAAGGGAGAATTACGTACAGTATGACAACAATAGGCCTGTTCGTTTATTCAATGTAACATTTTCGTATATTAATCCTGGCGAACTTGCAAAGTTTGTGCAGATTACTAGCATCAGATTATTAGGTCCGACCTTATTTCATAAGCGAACAACTCTGGTCCAGCCGGTTCAACCGTCTGGATCGCGATAAACGAAAGCGGCCATGGTAAAACACTCGCTGTCAAACGTGACGACATTGAAGTCACATTTATTCACTCTCCTTTCCTCATTAGTAACAGTCTAGCCAATTCTACAAACGGAGATTACATGTCAGCAATTTGTTTAAAACATCAGCCGTGTTGACCAATTTAATCTATAAAGAGTGCGTCGGTCTACAGTCGTATGCAAAATTAAAGGATACAAGCATTTTTTCTATATATTTCGTGCACTTTCACACTTTTCAGTGATTCAAAGGTCAATTAAACACAAAAAAACGGAATGTACTCTAAATAAACCGCGAATAATCTACTATACACAATCCCTGTGGAAATCAACTCTTATTGATTGACTTTTTTTCTCTTAGAAATTATAACACCACTGTATCAGCCAATCAAAAGCGACGTTACAAACGGCGACGTCATTTTTTTTTACGTTAAGGGCTGATAACATATTTATTTTGGCCAAAGAAAAGGTTTGTTACCAGCGAGATTAAATTGCGTTATATTGAAAGATAATTTCTGGATTTTTGTTTTACTTACAAAAATTTTGCGCTACAATTGACTACCGGAAAAATCGATGGAAAATGAAATAAAATAAAATGTATAAAATACGGAAGAGAAGAATACTTGTTTCTTTGATTTGGCACGAGGCTGTACATTTTATGACATGTTTTGCTTTATCAACGAGATTTCAGTGTCTAGCTTACAAATTTTACCACACAGAACGTCTTAATTCGCCGGTGAACTAAAATGTTTCTACAGTATTCACCGGATATATCATGACGGATTCCACATTTGGGGCAGGAAAGGCTGACCCTTCCGGAACACCTGGTCACGCCTCCTCTTTTAAGGGTTTTATGGTGTCGTTCAAGTCGTGTCCACTCACTTGAACTGAAGATATCATCGTTTAATGACGATGTTGTACATTTTGATCTATTTTACCTGCTCACAAATCATCAGAAACCCTGCATTATACAGCTTCCAATCAATCATTCAAATGACAGGCATCTATTTGCTTTGGTGTCCGTAACGTAACGTTCAGGTATCGTTTTTGTCCAATCTTTGTTAGTTATATTTCACACACCATATATATCATAAAATATTGATAAAGCGCCCTATCCATCTAGCATAAGCCATTTAAGTCCGTTGTTCACTATATAGATTTATAACTCGAAAAACAAGTACGTCAAACTATTCATATTTTTAACCAGATCACACATTCCTCATTTGTATATCAACTGTCATATTTTACATGTCTTCTTCCCCCTCACTGACCATCACTTTTGCTGCTTGTGGGTTTTTCGCGCGAAAAGTTTTGAGAAAAAATTAGTTTTTCTCTCCTTCTTGTCATCTTTGGCCGCACTTTGACCATGCGTCGCCTTCGTGCCTTCGCCCTCTTCCCAATCTGGGCTGACGTCCTTGACAGCCTTCAGTAGACGTTTCCAGTTCCAATCTACCATGTCCTCTTTAGTGAAATCACAAAGCGTCACGTGACGAAGTAGGTTCGGGACGTCCATTTTACTTACAATAACTGGGACTAACTTCTTCTGCTTCGTTGCTGTGAAAAAATATCGTCATCATTATCGTCACTAAATACATTGTACAGACGGGTAACATTTAGATTTGTCACCCAGTAGTGATATCGGTAGTGGCGCACACATTTGTTGAAATTACTTCCAATGACGCCTAAGGAAATCAGCTAAGTATTGTGAAAGTTTGAATATTTAGAGTATCATTTCAAATGAAGAGAATTGAAAAAAGTATGACTTTAGATAAAAGTTAATATTAAACGTCGGTTACCCTATAATCTTACACTGCATGATACAAAACGTGAACTCCTCGCCTGTCAGACCAAGTGTAAACAACAGAATCTATAAAGTAATCATCAAAGTCAATTACAATTGAATACTTTGTGGTGAAAGCAATCAAAGAAATCGTTGCGTGAATTATGCTAATCAGACAATTTTATTTTTCTATAAGCGATATTTTTCGAAAAGTTACTATGTCCCGTTCCACTACTTTAAAATGTATACCCTTCTAAACAAAAATATAATTAGGGAAGAAGTTGAAGCTCCAACTTTGAGCTCGTATAGTCATCCACAATCATGCAAGGGGCTTGGGCATACTAGTCGCCTCTAACGATCATGCAGCGGGAACCTGCACGAGTTGACATTTCCCGAGATAGCAACATGAATTATTTTGCGACGAACAGTGCACTTGACGAAAAGCAACATGGTACAGTAAATTTTCGTGTTCTTTGTCTTTTTGCACTATTAGTCCCCAAGGTTGATCGTAAATTTGTAGCCGGTTTTTATTCTGGCATGTTAAACATAACTTACTAGCTTAAAGATATTGTCTTTTATAAATGATATTTTGTAACGTCATTAAGGGCCTTAAAACAACACTACTGACATATTGAATTTTAGTCTTTTAAACTTCAATAGCACTGATGAATGCCAGTATGAAACAGTAAGTGTTAACTGTTTTTGTCTTTCGACATCGATTTTCTAAATTTTTCTTTACCGGCTTCGTATTTGTGATTATTTTAGTAATAATGCATTACAATACATAGTTTGTGACTCGTAACGAGTGACACGTGACTGAGGATTGAAGAACATCTGTTGGTCCTACCTGGTGATAGAGCATGCGCAAACTTTGTCATGAAGTCGCACTCGACACTCTTATGGTACTCCTCCGACAGCACAATTATCATGAGGCGGCATCTGTAAAAAAGTAAATCAATATCATAATTTCGGCACGACAAATACAAAATCCCAATAATATTTATATTTTTAATGATGCTTACTTGCGAGAACCATTAAAACCACTATTTTTTACCAATATAGGTCCGCATAGTCAAAACATAGCTTTCATATTCACTATTTTTTATCTCTTAGTTGGAGATGAGAATCACATGCGTTGTTAATTATGAAATCAAGTAAATCGGAGGAACTGCATCAATACACATCAGACATAGGCTGGTTAATCACATTCACACAAATTCAACCTGTGGGACACATAGAGACATCTTCTGTTTTTATTGATTATTTGATTTAATTTGTGTTTTTCAGAAGTATTTCATTCGTATGTTTTATAATGAATCAGTTGCTGCAAAGGACATTTTGTTCAAAACCGTTTTGGATACTAGTAATCGCACAAGGACATGTAGCGACTTTTGCCTTAGTGGTCAAAGTCATATCACGGAAATGGCTGACAGCTGTATTTACGATTAACTCAAACAGATCTTGCTATTGTCCGTAACAACAACAACCTTTCATTTTACTTTTAAATAGGTATTCGATATTTGCAAATAGATAAACACAATCATCGAGACATAGGAGTTTCGGCGTAAAGAAAACAAATGGAGGGAGATTGATATTAGCATGGAAAGGGCGTATATTTTGTCCAATATTTTCTCTAATTGATTGCAACTTGTCATATTCATAACTCATGAAAATATAATTAACGTTCTTTCAAGAGTTAATCCTATGTATAACCTCCGAGGTATGCTGCAATACCGTGATAAAGTTTGGCGTAGTTAGACACAAATATGGTTATTTGTTATCACCATTTTGCCGTGTAATATGCTGACGTACTCTTTTCTGATTTATCTATGAAATTCATAAATATTTATTGTAAACCAGTTTTTAATTAGATTTCCAACACAATTCACTAAAAGTAAGAATTATCATCTTGCTTCGAAAATGCGCCTTTCTCGTTGAATGACTGGATCACAATTGAGTGCAAATACAAATATCTCAGTACATACAGTAGACGGCAGCATTTGACAATACCCAAATCCTGATACAGTTCTTCATCTTCACAATCTGATACAACAATCTGTCTTTCAGCCCAAAACAAAGAACATATACTGAATGTGGTGTCCGGACATTTTGTCTTGGCGTGTATTGCCTACGACAGATTTGTTTAATATGTTCACAGTCACAGTTCAGTGACAACGTAGTGACATTTGACATCACATGAAATACATCGACATCACGTTCTGTACAAGTGAGGTTTATCTGGTTATCCTCGAAGTGTCCGGATTGACACGATTCGACATAATCAACAGAAACAGGCATCATGATTGGAGTCTGAAAGCACTTACCGTATTTTGATAAGAGTTGCGTACGAGTGGTACTGTGCTTGTCCAGGCAGGTCGTCCCTTGTTGGTATACATAATTTAAAATGATTATCCTCTAGCTTCGTAGCCATCTTTTCGACGAAACGCGCATCAGATACGCTTTCCGAGTTCCAACAAACGAAAACGTCGTAATATTGGGGGCATCCGTATTTAACTATTGAGTGAATTAATGACACACATTGAAAACATTTTAAAACATTTGTACAGTACCATAGATTTAAATGGAAAATAACACCGACATTGAAAGCTACATTGCTGTATCTTGAAAATATTTTGATAAAACAAATGCTGTTATAAGCATGACAACCGAAACTTGTTTTAATATATACCCCATATAATTACAGGACGTCATATCAACATGCATCAAATTTAGTCTACAAAACTGTTCATCTTGGTTGCAGAATTCCTATTAAGTTTAATACATTCTTTTACAAACTTTGAAAGATGTTTTGAAGAACATAAGGACAACTTTGAGCGCCCAAACAGTAGCCGTTTGTTTACTTAATACGTACTGTCCTCTTTCGTTAGCACCAGCTGGTCATCAATGACGATACCGTCCTTCGCTAGAATGAAAATTATATTTGATAAACAGTAAATAATAAAACGTGACTTTTGTTGGAAACATGCTATATACAGTGCGTCCGCCAATTTTTTCTTTGCATTATCCGTGCTACGAACGATACATATATAGTACCTATAACTCATATCCACATATCGAGTCCAGGGTAAGCACTGAAGAGTTGTTTTATCATAAGTGTCGGCCAAGCGAAAAGAATGTTTTAATAGGACAACGATTTAGAAGGCAAGGGTCGATATAATGTCAGCAATGGACACAAACAGCTCTGTCCTAGGGTTACTGGAATGCTTAATATACACAAACAGTTCTGTCCTAGGGTTACTGGAGTGCTTAATATACACAAACAGTTCTGTCCTAGGGTTACTGGAGTGCTTGATATACACAAACAGTTCTGCCCTAGGGTTACTGGGGTGCTTAATATACACAAACAGTTCTGTCCTAGGGTTACTGGAATGCTTAATATACACAAACAGATCTGTCCTAGGGTTACTGGAATGCTTAATATACACACAGAGTTCTGTCTTAGGGTTACTGGAATGCTTAATATACACAAACAGCTCTGTCCTAGGGTTACTGGAATGCTTAATATACACAAACAGCTCTGTCCTAGGGTTACTGGAATGCTTAATATACACACACCGTTCTGTCCTAGGGTTACTGGAATGCTTAATATACACACAGAGTTCTGTCTTAGGGTTACTGGAATGCTTAATATACACAAACAGATCTGTCCTAGGGTTACTGGAATGCTTAATATACACACACCGTTCTGTCCTAGGGTTACTGGAATGCTTAATATACACACAGAGTTCTGTCTTAGGGTTACTGGAATGCTTAATATACACAAACAGATCTGTCCTAGGGTTACTGGAATGCTTAATATACACCAACAATTCTGTCCTAGGGTTACTGGAATGCTTAATATACACCAACAATTCTGTCCTAGGGTTACTGGAATGCTTAATATACACAAACAGATCTGTCCTAGGGTTACTGGAATGCTTAATATACACACAGAGTTCTGTCTTAGGGTTACTGGAATGCTTAATATACACAAACAGCTCTGTCCTAGGGTTACTGGAATGCTTAATATACACAAACAGATCTGTCCTAGGGTTACTGGAATGCTTAATATACACCAACAATTCTGTCCTAGGGTTACTGGAATGCTTAATATACACCAACAATTCTGTCCTAGGGTTACTGGAATGCTTAATATACACACAGAGTTCTGTCTTAGGGTTACTGGAATGCTTAATATACACAAACAGCTCTGTCCTAGGGTTACTGGAATGCTTAATATACACAAACAGCTCTGTCCTAGGGTTACTGGAATGCTTAATATACACACAGAGTTCTGTCCTAGGGTTACTGGAATGCTTAATATACACAAACAGTTACTAGTATGTCGTAGACTTACTGGTTCGACGGATGCATTACTCAACAAGGGCTTTTTGATAGGCTTGCCTTGACAGTCAATCGAATATGATTAAGAAATAATTGATGAAATGAAAAGACATATCGCAATCATTGTCATAAAAGAAGTATTATGCTTAACAACACATACACAATAATGGTAAATTCATGTGCTGTGGTTATCTACATGAGTATCTACTAACCTAGCTTATTACAGGAGTGTGACGGCTTTTCACGGCGTCGTAATTCATTGTCAATGTCTATACCTGCAATGAAAACATGACACAAAAATGACAAGTTTAAAAAGTTTAAAAATGCTTTTATCCATCTATACTTAAATACCAGAGTATTCTAATTTCGTTTTTAATATTTGAGAACAGCCTTGTGTTATAAAGTTCTTTCAAGATGACTGCTAGAGATACAGGTATAACGTGTCTAAAAGTTGTACCATGACACAATGTATGCACGTATTTATAAAAGTCGCCTTCGCCAGCAGCAGCAGCAGCAGAACTTGTATTATAGGTACTATGCTTTTTCATGTTTTTATGTACTTTGACCTGACAATGTTTACTCTGTTATGCGCCCCTTTTCCTGTTAATGTGTGCTTTGTCTTGTTAATGTGATCTTCGTTATATGTATTTTGTCCTGTTTATGTAAACTTTGTCCCGTTTATGTGTCCTGTTTATGTAAACTTTGTCCCGTTTATGTGTCCTGTTTACGTGGACTTTGTCACAACGTCCGTTTTATGTGTACTTCATAGTGTGTATTTTGTCAGTGTGTTTTTACACACATTTATATGTATGTGGAAACTTTCCTGTGTTATGTTTTCTTTTTCCTTCATTATCTGGACTTTGTCTCGTTTATGTTTATAATTTCCCGATATATGTGTACTTTATTTTGTTTATGTGAACTTTGTCCTGTTTTATGTGTACTTTACTGTGTTATGTGTACGTAGTGCTGCGCTAAGTGTTCTTTGTACCGTTTATAAGAACATTGGCCTGTTTTATGTGGTGTTTGTCCTGTGTCATGTGTACTTTCCCGTGTTATGTGTATTCTCCTGTGTTATGTGTATTCTCCTGTGTTATGTGTATTTTCCTGTGTTATGTGTACTTTCCTGTGTTTTGTGTACTTTGTCCTGTGTTATGTGTACTTTCACGTGTTATGTGTACTTTCCTGTGTTATGTGTAATTTGTCCTGTGTTATGCGTATTTTCCTGTGTCATGTGTACTTCGTCCTGTGTCATGTGTACTTTCCTGTGTTATGTGTAATTTGTCCTGTGTTATGCGTATTTTCCTGTGTCATGTGTACTTCGTCCTGTGTCATGTGTACTTTCCTGTGTTATGTGTATTCTCCTGTGTTATGTGTATGTTCCTGTGTTATGTGTACTTTCCTGTGTTATGTGTGCTTTGTCATATGTTATGTGTACACATCTGTGTTATGTGCACTTTGTCATATGTTATGTGTACACATCTGTGTTATGTGCACTTTGTCATATGTTATGTGTACACATCTGTGTTATGTGTACTTTCCTGTGTTATGTGTTCTTTCCTGTGTTATGTGTACTTTTCTGTGTTATGTGTACTTTGTCAGTGTTATGTGTACTTTGTCATATGTTATGTGTACTTTCCTGTGTTATGTGTAATTTGTCCTGTGTTATGCGTATTTTCCTGTGTCATGTGTACTTCGTCCTGTGTCATGTGTACTTTCCTGTGTTATGTGTATTCTCCTGTGTTATGTGTATTTTCCTCTGTTATGTGTACTTTCCTGTGTTATGTGTACCTTCCTGTGTTATGTGTACTTTTCTGTGTTATGTGTACTTTCCTGTGTTATGTGTTCTTTCCTATGTTATGTGTACTTTCCTGTGTTATGTGTAATTTGTCCTGTGTTATGTGTACTCTCATGTGTTATTTGTACTTTGTCCTGTGATATGTGTACGTTCCTGTGTTATGTGTACTCTACTGTGTTATATGTACTTTCCTGTGTTGTGTACTTTCCTGTGTTATGTGTACTTTTCTGTGTTATGTGTACTTTCCTGTGTTACGTGTACTTTGTCCTGTGTTATGTGTACTTTCACGTGTTATGTGTACTTTCCTGTGTTATGTGTATTCTCCTGTGTTATGTGTATTTTCCTGTGTTATGTGTACTTTCCTATGTTATGTGTACTTTCCTGTGTTATGTGTAATTTGTCCTGTGTTATGCGTATTTTCCTGTGTCATGTGTACTTCGTCCTGTGTCATGTGTACTTTCCTGTGTTATGTGTAATTTGTCCTGTGTTATGTGTACTCTCATGTGTTATTTGTACTTTGTCCTGTGATATGTGTACTTTCCTGTGTTATGTGTACTTTCCTGTGTTATGTGTTCTTTCCTTTGTTATGTGTACTTTTCTGTGTTATGTGTACTTTCCTGTGTTATGTGTACTTTCCTATGTTATGTGTACTTGGTCCTGTGTTATGTGTACTATCCTGTGTTATGTGTATTTTCCTGTGTTATGTGTAATCTCCTGTGTTATGTGTATTTTCCTGTGTGATGTGTACTTTCACGTGTTATGTGTACTTTCTTGTGTTATGTGTTCTTTCCTGTGTTATGTGTGCTTTGTCATATGTTATGTGTACACATCTGTGTTATGTGCACTTTGTCATATGTTATGTGTACTTTCCAGTGTTATGTGTTCTTTCCTATGTTATGTGTACTTGGTCCTGTGTTATGTGTAATTTGTCCTGTGTTATGTGTTGTGTACTTTGTCCTGGGTTATGTGTAATCTCCTGTGTTATGTGTATTTTCCTGTGTGATGTGTACTTTCACGTGTTATGTGTACTTTCTTATGTTATGTGTACTTTGTCATATGTTATTTGTACTTTCCTAAGTTATGTGTGCTTTCCTGTGTTATGTGACTTTGTCCTGTGTTATGTGTAATCTCCTGTGCTATGCGTACTTTGTCCTGTGTTATGCGTATTTTCCTGTGTCATGTGTACTTTCGTGTGTTATGTGTAATCTCCTGTGCTATGCGTACTTTGTCCTGTGTTAGGTGTGATTTCCTGTGTTATGTGTACTTGGTCCTGTGTTATGTGTACTCCCATGTGTTATTTGTACTTTCCTAAGTTATGTGTACTTTCCTATGTTATGTGTACTTTGTCCTGTGTTATGTGTATTTTCCTGTGTCATGTGTACTTTCCTGTGTTATGTGTACTTTCCTGTGTTATGTGTAATTTGTCCTGTGTTATGTGTACTCTCATGTGTTATTTGTACTTTGTCCTGTGATATGTGTACGTTCCTGTGTTATGTGTACTCTACTGTGTTATATGTACTTTCCTGTGTTATGTGTACTTTCCTGTGTTATGTGTATTTTCCTGTGTTATGTGTACTTTCCTGTGTTATGTGTACTTTCCTGTGTTATGTGTACTTTCCTGTGTTATGTGTACTTTGTCCTGTGTTATGTGTACTTTCCTGTGTTATGTGTACTTTGTCCTGTGTTATGTGTACTCTCTCCTGTGTTATATGTACTTTCCTGTGTTATGTGTACTTTCCTGTGTTATGTGTATTTTCCTGTGTTATGTGTACTTTCCTGTGTTATGTGTACTTTCCTGTGTTATGTGTACTTTCCTGTGTTATGTGTACTTTCCTGTGTTATGTGTACTTTCCTGTGTTATGTGTACTTTCCTGTGTTATGTGTACTTTCCTGTGTTATGTGTACTTTCCTGTGTTATGTGTTCTTTCCTGTGTTATATGTACTTTCCTGTGTTATGTGTACTTTCCTGTGTTATGTGTATTTTCCTGTGTTATGTGTACTTTCCTGTGTTATGTGTACTTTGTCCTGTGTTATGTGTACTTTCCCGTGTTATGTGTATTTTCCTGTGTTATGTGTATTCTCCTGTGTTATGTGTATTTTCCTGTGTTATGTGTACTTTCCTGTGTTATGTGTACTTTCCTGTGTTATGTGTACTTTCCTGTGTTATGTGTAATTTGTCCTGTGTTATGTGTACTCTCATGTATTATTTGTATTTTGTCCTGTGATATGTGTACGTTCCTGTGTTATGTGTTCTTTACTGTGTTATATGTACTTTCCTGTGTTATGTGTACTTTCCTGTGTTATGTGTATTTTCCTGTGTTATGTGTACTTTCCTATGTTATGTGTACTTTGTCCTGTGTTATGTGTACTTTCCTGTGTTATGTGTACTTTGTCCTGTGTTATGTGCACTTTGTCATGTGTTATGCGACTTTCCTAAGTTATATGTACTTTCCTTTGTTTTGTGTACTTTGTCCTGTGTTATGTGTACTTTCCCGTGTTTTGTGTACTTTGTCCTGTGTTATGTGTATTCTCCTGTGTTATGTGTATTTTCCTGTGTTATGTGTACTTTCCTATGTTATGTGTACTTTCCTGTGTTATGTGTACTTTCCTGTGTTATGCGTATTTTCCTGTGTTATGTGTACTTTCCTATGTTATGTGTACTTTCCTGTGTTATGTGTACTTTGTCATATGTTATGTGTACACATCTGTGTTATGTGTACTTTCCTGTGTTATGTGTATTCTCCTGTGTTATGTGTATTTTCCTGTGTTATGTGTACTTTCCTGTGTTATGCGTATTTTCCTGTGTTATGTGTACTTTCCTATGTTATGTGTACTTTGTGCTGTGTCAAGTGTACTTTCCTGTGTTATGTGTACTTTGTCCTGTGTTATGTGTATTTTCCTGTGTTATGTGTACTTTCCGATGTTATGTGTACTTTGTCCTGTGTCATGTGTACTTTCCTGTGTTATGTGTACTTTGTCCTGTGTTATGTGTACTTTGTCATGTGTTATGTGTATTTTCCTTTGTTTTGTGTACTTTGTCGTGTGTTATGTGTAATCTCCTGTGTTATGTGTACTTTGTCCTGTGTTATGTGTATTTTCCTGTGTCATGTGTACTTTCCTAAGTTATGTGTAATTTGTCCTGTGTTATGTGTACTCTCATGTGTTATTTGTACTTTGTCCTGTGATATGTGTACTTTCCTGTGTTATGTGTACTTTCCTGTGTTATATGTACTTTCCTGTGTCATGTGTACTTTTTCCTGTGTTATGTGTACGTTCCTGTGTTATAAGTACGTTGTCCTGTGTTATGTGTACTTTGTCCTGTGTTATGTGTACTTTCCTGTGTTATGTGTACTTTCCTATGTTATGTGTACTTTCCTGTGTTATGTGTACTTTGTCCTGTGTTATGTGTACTTTCCTGTGTTATGTGTACTTTTCTGTGTTATGTGTACTTTGTCATGTGTTATGTGTACTTTGTCCTGTGTTCTGTGAATTTTCCTGTGTCATGTGTACTCTCCTGTGTTATGTGTACTTTACTGTGTTATGTGTACTTTCCTGTGTTATGTGTACTTTCCTGTGTTATCTTTACTTTGTCCTGTGTCATGTGTACTTTCCTGTGTTATGTGTACTTTCCTGTGTTTTGTGTACTTTGTCCTGTGTTATGTGTACTTTCCTGTGTTATGTGTACTTTCCTGTGTTATGTGTACTTTCTTGTGTTTTGTAGATTTTGTCCTGTATTTTTGTGTGTTCCGGACCCGTTTCGTGTGTACTTTGTCTTATTTCATTAAACCGCTGATTGGAATTTGACTAAATTTGACTGGAAGCATCCCTCGGTGGTGGGGATTAAAAATTTTACAAATGGTTGGGGTGACCCCCCCCCCCCCCAGGGGGCTGAGGGGCGGGGCCAAAAGGGGGCAATTTGGCTATATTGCTTTAAGCGACTTCTTCTCTGGAACTAAAGGATGGATATCAACCATATTTCACTGGAAGCATCCCTATCTGGTGGTGATTCAAAATTGTACAAATAGTGGGGCTGAACCCCAGGGGGCTGAGGGCAGGGCCAAAAGGGGGCAATTTGGCTATATTGCTTTAAGCGACTTTTTCTCTGGAACTAAGGGATGGATATCAACCATATTTCACTGGAAGCATCCCTAGGTGGTGGGGATTTAAAATTGTACAAATGTTGGGGCTGACCCCCCAGAGGGCTGAGGGGCGGGGCCAAAAGGGGGCAATTTGGCTATATTGCTTTAAGCGACTTTTTCTCTGGAACTAAGGGATGGATATCAACCATATTTCACTGGAAGCATCCCTAGGT